AATTTGAATGTGGTTGCCTCTCATTGTAATTTTTTCTTTCAAAAAATTTTACCTTATTACATCTTCAGGTAGTAGTTGTTAATTTTCCTGTAAACTAAAGTCAATTTTTAAAATATTTTTTAATTTTTTTTTGTTTCTTTTTTTTTTTTTACTTTAATAATTAAAAAAGATGGATAGAAAGACATCATTATCATTAGATAAGTAGCCGTTGTAGTATTGATAAAATGGAAGAGAAATATGCTCAACAGATACAAGTAACAACCAACATCCTAGCTATACAACTGCAGACTGCAGTGGAATACCCAACGGCCCATGAATGGCTGGCGAGGGTACTTTCGTCATACAAATATCCAGCCCGGACAAACTTTTTTGGGATATACAAAAGCCACCACAGAAAAGACTGCACCACCACGGTCAATACAATAAAGCTGCCCCTGGGCCCTCTTTTTACTCTCTCATTTTACTTTTTTTTTTTTTTTTTTTTTTTTTATTGAGTTATACTACATCGGCTCTGTTTGGCAGAGCTTATTTAGGAGCTTATATCTTATTTTAAGCTATTAATAAGCTATAAGTTTTGTTTGATAATATTTCCAAAATAAACTCCTAGCTTAAAATAAGAGCTTATTTTGAAAACGCTAGCTTAGGTAGCATTTCAAAATAAGTTCCTAGCTTCCTATCTATTTTTCCATCTTTATCCTTATTATTTTAAAGAAATAACATAATTTACACTTTTCAATTTTTTTTTTTTTTTTTTTTGAGGAAACCCTTCTCAATTAAAACATTTTCTCTTCTCCTTTATTCGCAACTTTTACCGCAAATATTATTATTATTATTATTATTATTATTATTATTATTATTATTATTATTATTATTATGAGATTTGCAACAATATTGCTACTTCATTATGAGATGCTAGATCATGATTATGCTAATAGTTTTATTTCAACATGTTAATTTTTTTTAAAAGACAAAATGTTAAATTTTAATATGTAAACAAACTAATTTAAATTTTATGAAGATGTCCTTTTTAGTCTTTTTACATTTATCAACTTATCAAAAAGTTAATTTTACCAAACACTTTCAATCATAACAACTAGCTTAACAGCTCTTCAGTTTTCAGCTCCGAGCTTATAGCTTTTCAGCTTTCAGCTTTCAGCTCCTTTTCTACTCCCTTGTTTATACTCCTTGAGGTGGCAAATCAAGATTGATTATTTTCATCATGTGGATCCACAGCAAAATGTCTACATAGGTGAAAGAGAGTACAAGTTGAGAGCTTAAAATGGGAGTACATTAATTTTTTTTTTTTACCATTAATTAAACCATATATTTAACCGTGTATTTACACAATTATTATTATTATTGTTGTTGATGTTGTTCTGCACCCAATGGGTTCTTCGTATCTCCACCCCTACAGGTTTTAAAATACCCGCACAATTTATGTAATGTGTGCAGATATGGGGAGAATTTTGTAATACGCGCGTGGGTGCAGTGCGAGAGAGGTATCCTCGCCCGCACCCGCACCCGCACTTATATATATTGTTATTAGTACTCATTTATTATATAAGTTTATGTATATTTTATAATTAAAAGTGCATAATGAATTAAACTTCTTAGGGTTTGTGTGGTTCGCACATACGAATCAGAATCGGAATGGGTATCAAATACTTAGTAATGGTAATGGGTTTCGGTGAAAGTATTTAACATGTTTGGTAGTAGGGTGGAATGAGACAGTTGTTATATTATAGACCATGGTGCATAATCGATTATGCATCGCGGCCCATATACGGCGCCGTTTCTTTAAGTAAAGAAACGGTCCGCCGTTAGAGTTAACGGAGTCTGTTTGTTTGGTGTATTAAATACCAACTGACACTACAGTATATCCAAACCGACACTGCAGTTATATCAAAATGATACTGTAGTTATAATGAAATGAAACTGCAGTGTATATAAACTGAAACTGAATAACATTTCACATATTTGAGTGTATATTGTACAATGAAGCTGTAATTATATCAAAATGATCATGTAGTTGTGTTTTAATAAAACTATAGTGTATATAAAATAAAATTAAATAACATTTTCACATATTTGAGTCTATAAATATCGAATGAAACTATAGTTATATCGAAATGAAACTGTAGTTGTGTTCAACTGAAACTGCAGTGTATACAAAATGACACTGAATAACAGACTTACTTTTTGCAAAAGGGTGCGAAACGGCGGAAATAAACACTGTTAATTTTCATTTAAAAAAAAAAGACGCGCGGTGCATAATCAATTATGCACCGCGGTGCATAATATAATTTGCCGAAATGAGAATGGTTACTAATAGTAGTGTTTGATAATGAATAAGGGAATGAAATTCTTATTTTATTTGGATATGAATTTTTCAATTGATGGGGTATTCGAAACACATAATAGTGTTCTAAAAACCTATCAACCAAACAACAACAATCACTTTCATACCCATTCCATGGAATTGTAATTCCATAGTTTGGTTGGAGGGAATTACAATTCCATGGAATTGCAATTCCCTCAAACCATGGAATTGCAATTCCATTGTAAATTACCACTTTACCATCATTATCATTATTATATTAATATTATATAAGGGCGTTTTAGTATTTATTCACTTCTTCCCTCTCAATTTTTCATCACCATATTCCTTCTTACCAAACAATGTAATTTAAATTCCCACTTTATTCTTTTCCCACCGAAGTAGAATTCATTTCCCCTCTAATTCCCTCCTTCCAACCAAACGCTTGTTTGGTTGTATGTAATAATTGAAATTCTTTTCCTACCTTATTTCATGACAATGCAAATTACAGTATTTTTTTTTTGAAAGTAATAATAGTGGCGTATTAATGGATAAACTGAGCAATAGAGTCAGGAGGGACAGAGTCCCAGTACATAGGTTGTTCCTAATCAAAAGCTAACGAAGCTAAAGTATGAGTATGAAAATTAAGTGTTCTAGAAATATAACTTAAAGAACAACGTGTAAATAATGATATGGCTGTCCTACAATGGTCCACAATGATCCCGTTAGGCAAATTACAGTATTTAGTTGGAGGGCAATTCCCTCATTTTGTTCTATCCCCATGAATTGCAATTAATGCTCGTAATAAATGGGAAAAAAAGGGAAGAAAGGACAAAAGTACCTTTTATTATTATTATTATTATTATTATTATTATTATTATTATTATTATTATTATTATTACACAAGGACATTTTAGTCTTTATATTACTTTTTTTTTTTTCATTCTCAATAATTCTATTCATTTTTACTCAATAATGTAATTTGAATTCCTACTTTATTTTTACCTTATTTTTTTCTTATCGTATTGTAATTCCTTTCTCCCAACCAAACACGTTGTAAGCGGTTGGGAGTGAAAGCTCGGCCCTCACGAAATTTGAACTCTTTCCTCTTGCTTCTTAATTGTAATTTATGATGGCTTTCATGACAAAGAGTACGAATACAATTTTAAAATAATATGCAGTTGTACATAGTATAAAGGAACCATAACAGCGATTAATATTGTAATTTTTCTTTAAAATAAAATTGGAGTTAGGTTGAAAAAAGGTAGTATACAGAAGTTGTTGCTCATTTTAGAAAGCTTCTACTTAAATTTTACTTCGCTATTTCGTTTTGTAATATATTTGGTTTTTTTTTTTTTTTTTTTTTTTTTTTTTTTTTTTTTTTTTTTTTTTCCTGTTTTTGCATTTAATTAATTTTATAACATAAATGGTTAAAATAATTAACTTGCAAATATAAACATGTATTCAAGGAAATTTAGTTATTTGTATACTATACTTAATTGAATATGATACTTTGTCAATGGATACTATAACGTAGCGTTTGGTTGGAGGAAATTACAATTCCATTCCTACATAATTCCCACATATTTCTAACGGTAAGCAAATTCATTCGTTTGGTTGGAGTGATTTCCAATTCTGTAGAATTATAATTCCTTCATTTTCAAGAAATGAGAATTTCATGCCCTCCCTTAGTATTTTAATTCCATGAAATTTAGGAAGAAAAAAAAAACTTTGGGACAAAATGATCCATTTTTTTAAACCTAAAATTGACGTTTGACCCATCTCTTTCGATTATAGTGTGTCTTCTTCTTCTTCTACACTAGACACAGAACGTCAATTAGTAGTCCAACCTCAATTAAATATGTTTTTTTCAAAACTCTCTTATATATTTTATTGCTTTTATTATGTAATTCTAGTGTTTATTTACATCATGTTACATAAAATTTCAAAAGCAAAATATAAATTTGGCCATTTAAGATTTATAATAATAATAATAATAATAATAATAATAGAAATAGTAATATTCGTATTAATAAGTATGTGTATTTTAAATTTTATACTACTTATTCCCTTTCAATTCTCATATATACCAAATATTGAAATTTAAATTACCACTTTAATTCCATATTATTCATTTCCCATGAAATTATAATTCTTTTTCTTCCTAATTCTATCCCTCCAAGCAAATGCTCCGTAAACGTTCTCAAATTTATATATATACACGCATTTTTATTTATTTTGATTTTGATGTCTATTGATTATGAGTTTTGTTATATTATGCTCCTAATTTTATCTCCAAATATTAACATTCTTATATGACAATTGACTGCTTTTGTATTTTACTTGTAAGTAGATTTCTATTAAACGCTCAATAAGATCAGTTAATTTACAAGTAATCATTTTTTTTTTTTGTAAAGTAATTAACTTGTAACTACTACAAAATTGTGTGCACGAAATAATTGAATAATTGAGTTTTATTATCACGTAATAATGTAAATATTATGTGGTGAAATAAGGAGAGAAAATAGCAGTACTAGTTGAATATTACCAAATCCATTCTATTTTATTAAATTTTCTGATTTTCAGAATATTTTGAATTAGAATCCCAATTTAAAAAAGAAATAATATATATATATATATATATATTTTAAAAAACATAGTTTTAAAACAGAAATACCAAAGAGTCATACACCTCAACGACAAAACAAACACAACGGAGGAGAGAGAGAGAGAGAGAGAGAGAGAGACTAGGTAGAGCGAAGGAGAAACTCCGGCGAAACGTAAACCAGAGATTTTTCGGTGAAGGAGATTAATGCTTTGATTTGTATTGTAAATACTCGGAACGACGCCGTACTGCATCCGACTCTGGAACTCCCAACTTGCCACCGCGAGATGGCTGTTACGCCGCCGTCTCTCGCGGATTCGTCAACCTTGACGTTTCTGTTCCGCAGTCGATCTGTAATCTTCCAGAGCCCTACTTGAAATTTCATTGTGTTATATGCAGAAGAAGTTATTGTTATTGTTTGGAAAGAGTATAAAATTGATTCTGGAATTGGAGTTTACAAGAATGGCTTCTGGAGGGAAAGGAGGGTTGGAGAAGCTGAGGAGATGCGTAAGGACATTGTATTTTATGGTGGCGATGGTGGCGTCTTTGTTGGTGCTATCAGCGCCGGTGCTGGTGGCGATTGGGGACGTCATGGTGCAGTGCGTTTTGATTTCGAGCTTCACGTGCATCAGCTGTTACAGTATTCAAGAGCATTTGCACAGATATACATTCAAGAGTTCATTAACTGAAATTCCTCTTGTTTCCATCATCAGATCTCTCGTCATCACTTGTATGTTGCCACTCTCCTTGTTTTTTTTTTTTTTTTTTTTTTTAAAGCTCCAAAATCTTGTTTAAATTTGCGATAATTTGATACTATTCATCCACTTCCTACCGATGATATAATTCATCTGCGTTTTCAATTTGTGTTAGTATAATATCCTGATGATTAATGTTCCTTTCGCTGATCTTGTTACTTTCCTGTTTCTCCTTGATGAAAATATGTACATATTTTGTTGAAAACGGTAATGCTGGTACGAAATTGCTGATAATCTATTTTTTTGGGGTTCTCATTTTGACTTTAAACACAAGTTGCTGATAATGGTAATTGTTTGGATCTTATTTTTCTAATTGAGACAGTAAGAAATGAACTATCATTCCATTGCTGTAGTTTGTTTCTTCAAATGAATGAAAAGGTTGGTGTTAGTATGTAGTAAGTGTCGTTGTTTGATTTGCTCTTAAATGTATTTCTATTACCTGTCTAGCTTCTTTCTTTTTCTATTCCTTTTGTTTTGGTAATTTTTCCATTTTACTTGAATAATCATTGCTTGTTTGCTATTTTAATGAATACAGGTGTGTATTCCATGTGCAACAGCGCTGCTCTCTCACACGGACCATATCTTGGAACAGTTACCTTTTGTTCAGTCATTTCAGTTCTTCTTCTTTCCATTAAGGCTTGTGTCTTCTCTGTCAATTCTTACCTTGAAGCTGAAGCTTCAACATCCATCTCAAGGCAAAGGCTTCATTTGAAAAAGTCATGGGGGATGCCTGTCTTATTTCTCTCATCTGTGGTGTTTGCTCTTGGACATACAGTTGTTGCATACAGAACAAGTTGTAGAGCTAGAAGGAAACTCTTGTTCCACCGTGTTGACCCAGATGCTGTAAGTAAATAATATTTCCACTATTTAGAGACCCATTTGAAAATGCACAGAATCTACTATTTTCTTTTACTCAGAATTAAAGCCGATGTTCCATAAAATTTTACATTCTGGTGCTTTTGACATTTACTGTGTTTGATGGTTGATTATTCATCAATCACTTTATCTAATTACAGGTTCTCTCCAGAGTTGTTTTCTCTGGATATCAGAAGGTTCCACGTTCTCCAACCCCTTCTGCTGGGAGAACGCCAAGAAGTGACAGTGAAATTCGCGGAAAACCAGCAGGATTAGCTCATTTGGATGGGCAACTACCTGTTAGATTGCTGGCTGATTCTGACAGCTTATTTATCTCTTGTCATGGGCTTACCATTCATTATAAGCTAAGTTTGCCCGGGTCACCTCCCCGTTCCTTATCATCCATAACCTTTCTTGACAGGCCAGCAGTAAGTTCTTTATCAAGAAGCGAACAGAAACTTCGTAGGAGCTTCAGTAACCAGTTTCATACTTCATCTCTCTCTACTCCTTTGCTAGATAGTTCTCCAAAATCCCCTGTTCTGTCTGAAGACATACCTATTTTAAGCCTAGGTGAAACTGGTGGCGAGGATCAAACTAATAAGTTGCCATATCAACTTAACATTCGAGATTTGGAAGCAAATTGTCAGTTTGGGATTGTTTTAGTGCATGGCTTTGGAGGAGGAGCCTTTTCATGGAGAAATGTGATGGGTGTGCTAGCTCGACAGGTAGGTTGTGCTGTAGCGGCTTTTGATAGACCAGGTTGGGGATTGACATCAAGGCCCCGCCGCAGAGACTGGGAGGATAATCAATTGCCTAATCCCTACAAGCTTGATACCCAGGTAATTTCTTGTTTTTAATGTATATGCTGGTGTGTAGCGGTTCTTACGTCATCCAACACGGACTTCCTTGCCTTGTTTGTGATACTTCTGACTTTTTAAGCTTTTGATTGAACTGTGGTGGTTTATTTGTTTTCAGGTTGATCTGCTTCTTTCTTTTTGTCTAGAGATGGGGTTCACCTCTGTTATACTTGTTGGCCATGATGATGGAGGGTTACTTGCATTAAAGGCTGCACAAAGAGTTCAGTCATCTATGGGTTCAATTAATGTGAGCAACCACCTATCTTGCTTTAATGGAATCTTGTTATAAGTCCATTGGTTAAAACTGTACTTCTTGCAAACGTAAGGCCATTTAATGGAATCTTGTTACAAGTCCGCTGGTTAAAACTTCTTGCTAACATAAGGCCATTTGAATGATATTCAAACTGGTTGAATTGCTTCAAGGAATAATAAGCAGTTATCTTGGGGTAAATAAATGATTTCACCATTAATCGTCTTTTATTTTCTTACTGTTTAAAACTAAATTTTTTGTTTGTATTGTCAGCATATAGCTGAGTCTGCATTCTTTTCTACACTCTTGAGATCTTAAAAATTCTTCTAAGGTCTGTTGAAATAAATATTATGGAAGTGTGCATAAACTGATAAATTTTGTTGAAAATGTTTAAAATATGTGATGAGGTTGCTCTAGAGGGTGGCTTTCGAAACATTACATTGAAGTAGACAAACTGGCATGTATTGTGGAACAGTGACACAAAATTGTAGTATATGATCAAGTTCAATTTTGAAATATTGCGAAATGAAGACTTATTCTTTTTATTGTGGTATAAAATTGTTAGAGTGATGCTCATCTATTTGACTCTATTATGCATTTATGTCTCTAGGTTGAGATAAAGGGAGTTGTCTTACTGAGTGTTAGCTTGACAAGAGAACTGGTCCCTGCCTTTGCAAGAATATTGTTGCGCACTTCGCTTGGGAAAAAGCACTTAGTTCGTCCTCTTTTGCGAACTGAAATTACTCAAGTAGTGAATAGGCGTGCATGGTATGATGCTACTAAGCTAACAACTGAAGTCTTAAGTCTTTACAAGGTATGTTTTGCACATGTTATCTCATATCTGCTACATTGTCATAGTTGCTGCTTTTTATTATACAAGTATGCCTGATCATATAAATTGTTTTATTCCTTTTCTGTAATCAGGCCCCATTATTTGTAGAAGGTTGGGATGAAGCACTTCATGAGATAGGGAAATTATCATTTGAGACGGTGCTTACCCCTGACAATGCAGCATCAGTACTAAAAGCAGTTGAAAATTTGCCAGTACTGGTAATTGCGGGAGCAGAGGATGCACTTGTACCATTAAAATCTGTTCAAATTATGGCCTCAAAACTTGTAAATTCTGTAAGTCTATTATTTATATCCTCCATATATGTAGATGCATGCATACACAGGCTGCTTGGACTTTGTTTATCTAATTATGTATGTGTTGATGATTTTGCAGAGACTGGTTGCAATATCTGGTTGTGGCCACCTTCCTCACGAGGAATGTCCCAAGGCTTTGCTTGCAGCTATGTCACCGTTCATAAATAGAATTTTAGGGGTTCCAGAATCCTAACACTATTAGGAAAGATTCAACATCCAGATAGGTTTCTCTCTTTGTTTCTGAAAAGCCAGCCTTGCCTGCCCGCCCGCCCTTATAGTGTTTTTCTTCCTACAGTTTTATCCCAAAAGGTAGAGTAACAAGTTCATCTCTCCTTTTGGGCATTTTTGATGATTAGTTTGGTGTTGAGTTTTTCTGTGTTGTTGATTAGTAGTGGTAGGTTAAGGGTCTCTTGGCTTCAGTCAGCCCTTTTTAAACAGTTACCATTATTTGTGTCCATATGGGGAAATTGGAATGGAATGGGAATTTCTTTGTACAGATGCATGCAGAGATGAATGTTTAAGCAGATTTTGTTCTTTTAACCATTGTTCCATTCCCTTTTGTTCATTATATATCTTCTATTAATTGGAGGGAGCTTTTCTTTTTTTCTTTTTGAAAGGAAGGGAGCTTTTATAGTTCTTGCAAATAATTAAATTCTGTCAAACAATGTATTTGCAAGTAGATTGAAAAGCTAAATGGAAATGGCAATTGATGGAGGATGCATTTGGAAAAGCTTAGAGCTTTTATAGTTCTTGCAAATAATTAAATTCTGTCAAACAATGTATTTGCAAGTAGATTGAAAAGCTAAATGGAAATGGCAATTGATGGAGGATGCATTTGGAAAAGCTTAGTTTTATTCAAGGCATAAAACCCTTCAAAAGTTGTCATGCTAGCATATAACTTGCATGTCTCTGTCATGCGACAGCCAAAACCAAAAAAAAGAAAAAAGAAAAGGAAGACCTATAAAAATATGTTTCCTTTGGTCTCAGTTTCAGACATCAATCATTCTTCGTTCTCTTTATCGTCATCAATCTTTGCCCCTTTGGCAATATGTAACTTGTCAATCTCAACATTGACATCTTTCACCACCTTAGGCTTAGGTGGTCCAGCTGATGCATCGGTGGCCTCGTTTGGCCCAGTCTGCCATATTCTAATTGTCCCGTCTTCAGAACCTGAAGCATAAGATTCTCCTCCTGGAGAGAAACGCACACAATGCACAGGACCATGGTGTCCCTTGTTGCATCCTATAAACGAAAACGACAAGACAACAAACATTAGTAGTTCTGCCTGCCGCTAATTCATTACAGGGAAGGCCATGAATCGTACCAATTTGTTCTCCAGTGTGAAAGTCAAAGAGACGAACCCACATGTCTTCCCCTCCGGCAATGAACCTTTTTCCGAACCTTGGTTCTAATGAAGCAGATTCAACATTGCAGGGCATGTCATAGCTCTTTACCAATCTAAATCTGATAAGCAAGTAAATACCAACTGTAAGCCGCCACGCACACCCATACATTTCAGCACAAGATAAATCAAACAGCAATCAATACATACTGATTTGCATCCCAAAACTTAACAGAGGAACCATCAGCAGTAGTTATGTAGTGGCCATCTCGACTCACTTCAGCACTGGTTACAGAAGACTTGGTATCAAGGGTTCGAACAACTTCACAGCTTCTTAAATCCCATAATCTATACTCAAAACCAACAAATTAAAGCTAAACGAGGAACAAGGCATGCACACAAGTTAATGGAAAAAAATGCAGAAAAAAAAAGAAAGCAAAAAGAAAGTTCAACTCCTGTCAGATGGTCAATGGTTCTTTAACAAGCTGTACTTCAACTGAATTATTGGTTGAACCAGCTGACTTGACTACAAATGTCTTCCAGTTTGATAATGGTCCGGGTTAAACCCAGACAGGAAGAGTTCTCTTGACCAAAATTCAAAGGATATTATTGTCATATTTCCTTTGCAATTATCATTACAAAGCTAAATAGAGTGAGTATAAAAAGAGCATGAAACATTAAAAAGCTATTTCACATACCTCACTCCACTCGTATCACTGCAGGAACTTAATATGGTTTGGTCATTATGGAGCCAAGCAACTGTCCTAACCGAACCAGGACCACCGTCAATTTGCCTTGGTGGTGCATCTGGTCGATTTAGATCGAATATCCGAAGAATTTTTTCGAAACCACCAGTGAGAAAATGATGTGTATCCTGCAAATGACACGATTTCAATTCATATATATTGTAGGAAAGGGATAGTCCTTGAATGCTTCTGAAATAGGTTTTACATAGTCACTTTGTAAACAAGGAAGAACCCAATTGACAAGTCAATAGATGTGATTATGACAGTTAAGTTTCACATTTAAAGAGTAAATATTTTGAATGGCCATGGCACATATGAAGAATACAGTGTTGACAAACATGATGACTTCTCATTGTAGGGACACAAATACAAAATTGAGCAGTCTACACTTAACATAGAACCAATAACAAAAACCAAGGTTATCTCTTGAAATCCAAGTAAATGATCAAATTTTTGTTATAACTAAAGAAATTCACTTTAAAACTTAGCATATGGCACATTTAGAATGTCTGAAGCTTCTAAATAAAGCATTGATCCAACTTCCTAAAAAGAAAAATAAAGACTAAGCAGAGTTGACCTCTAATGCATAGAATTATATGGAGCATCAACTAACATACATCTGAAAAGGCACAAGCACGGACTATGTGCTTGTGACTAAATGAATGCAGTTCATCCCCAGTTAATGCATCCCATAATTTCCTGCAGAAAACCAACATAACAACATCATATCAATAATGAAAACCATAAGCATTGTTGTTGTATCAATACATCATTACCCACTAAAATAAAGGGGGAAAAAAAGAAGAATAGAAAATAGATTACTACTAATTCAGATGTTAGGTCAATGCTATGACTTTGTTAAAGTAGAAACTGGTTGAGATTGTGCTTCTACTCATTGGTGCAATAAGTTATAAGTTCTTGAGAAGATAGTGGAGTATTGATAGTATTCTTTTAATTTAGTTTTTCTAAACACCAATTGATGTTAACAACAAAGTGTCAGGTGGGAAAGCTTACATCCAAAGAAAACAGTAGGTGACTTACGCACTGAAATCAGCAGATGCAGATGCTGCACGAAGCGCGTGTTTATCTAGACAACAACTCCATACAGCACCTTTATGCCCCTGAAAAGTTCCAATCCAATCTCCAGTCTCTCCATTTCTCAACATTGGTGTGGAATCTGAATAAAAGAATAGACTATCCTCTATTAAAACCAAACCATGTTCAGGGACAAAAAGCAAACCAAAACCAACATTTTATTATGCAAATTCTCTTCAGCATTTACCCAACCGGCTATCGCCTTCTAAAATCCATTTTGTCCAGTTGCAATAGAAGCTCATTTCAAGTTAATTCACAAGCAATGACATCCACATACATTCATACCAGCTGCCCAATTAACAGAGACCCAAGGACTAACAAGTAGCCACCAAAATCAATGAATGCAGTAAAACGTAAAAATTAACTGGAAACAATATAAGCAGCAATGACATTATCACAGAAGTAACATCTTAGAATTTAACTTGCTTCTTAGTGTCAACATAAAGAATCATTCCCCATTAAAGAAATCTTGGGCTTACCCTTGCTGGCACTGATTAGGAAAAACCCATCAGGAGTGGATGGGCTGTAGAACAAATCGACAACCGGCCTAGAATGCCCGTGGCAAACAAGCGGAGCAGCAACCTTCTTCTTATCCATTATACCCAAAAATTCTTAATTGCTCCCACAAAACCTATTTTCTTTACTTTTGTTGTTTTTTATCCCTTGATCAAATATGCCAAAAGCTATCCAAACCAATCTGACCCAAAAACAAAAACAAAAAAAAAAAAAAACCCCAAAATTGGCCAAATAAACAAAACTCTTTTTTTTTTTTTTTTTTTTTTTTTTTTTTTTTTTTATATATACGGAACAACAATGAAAAATCTCGATTAGAAATTTCCGAAGAAAAAAACTGAAAATTTTCTGCGGATTAGATATAGATATAGAAATAGAAATATATGTATCTGCCTATAATAAAGTGTATATATTACGGGAAATGGCGCGACCGATTATCAAAGGCGGGAAACCCTAATCTGAGATTGACAGGTTTGATTCCTTAACGAATCCACACCTCCAGCTCAAGACGATGGATAGATCAGTAGTGATTATTGCAATTATTCGTAAAATCAGAGAAAAAAAATTAAAAAGAAAAAAAAAGAAATATAAAATCCAAAACTACACTACGAGCTGGGCGCAGGGAGCTGGAATCGCAATTGCTTCGTTTTATATATGGTGGGATTTTGGTTCAAGTCCCCGTACTTTTCGACAATTGCAAACTCACCACCATTATAACTCAGGGACCAAACTCGCCATTTCCTAAAAAAAAAAAAAAAACTATTGTCATTCTATATAATAAAATTAATTTTGAAGTGTTTATTTTATTTTTAGTTTTTGAATTTTAAAAATATTCTTTTTTTAGTTCAATATATTTTTGAATACATAAAGGTGAAACATTCACAAAGTACAATATTTTTAAAAGTTAAGAATTAGAAGTATAAAAAATTAAATTCAATAATTAAAAAATAAAATTTATTTTTAAGGCATGAAATTAAAAGTGAAATAAACTCTAATCTAGATGTTAAAATTTTAAAGTGAATTTTATAATAGAGACAGATGACATATTTGTTCTTTTAATTATCTCATTAAATAAATTTTCATTTTAAATAATACGGAGTACTATTTTAATAATTTCACATAACACTTGTTCTTCTTTTCCTACTTCATTGTCGTTTGTTTTCAAGACCGTTGAAAGATCCATTTTATATTTGACTTATATGATTTAGTTGCTCGTGTAATTTTGTTATTCTATCTACGTTCATTGTGTGTCATATCACCAAAACAACTACAACTGAGCACATAGGATAGTGGGTAGAACCTGAGACCTCTTATTTATGGGGCTACATTTATGTCGCGACCACAAGGCCTTTGACAATTAGAAATCATACAATTAAATGAAAATTGACCTATTTTATCAAAACAAACGTGACAGTTATACTCATTAAAAAATTATTAGTTAAATTTATTTTAATTATTTAAATAAAATAAATAAAAAAACCCACACCTCCACCCTTTGTCTCCGGCAAGGCACGGAGAGGTTTCTTTGAGCATTATTTGTAATTGAGGAGATAATTAAAGAACTAAAATGTATCCACTTTATAATTAAAGACTATATTTTAATAGTCAGAATAATTTGAGGGCCAAAATTACAATTTTGGTGAAAAGCCTTGTGAGATAATAATGTATTGAAAAAGAGTTAATTCCACTTTTAGTCCTACATTTATTGCGCGATGAACACATTTTGACCAGTTTTATTAATTTAGTCACATTTTGCCCAGCCATTTTAAAATATGGACACTTTTGATCCACCGTTATATTTGCTGTTAAACAACCGTGAAGTGGGAGGGCAATTGTGTCCTTTCACGTGCTATTCTTTCTCAGTCTTTCTGGCTAAAAGTTGTGTCGATTCTGCAGCAAAGGTTAGCGGGAGGACAAAGAGTATTCCAACATTTTTTTCAAAACGGTGCCTGACCTTCCTCCAACAATACTCTTAATCCCAATGAAACTTCCCCACAACCCTGCCAGAAAACCAATTCTGGTGGACTACTCCAGCAGGAAAACCAGAACAAAAACGAGTGAGCCGCCACCACGAGCCCATTTTTTGATGCTCTTATGGACCAATTCCGACATCAAGGCAAGAAAAGCAAGAACAAAATCAGATGAGCCTGGATTGCCTCATTTTCTGTTTTTAAAATACTGGATCCACAAGGCTTTTTTTTTTTTTTTTTTTTTTTTTTTTCTCTCTGTGACTGATCGTATATATATGTTATCAGAATTCTGGTTTTGATCGACAGTTTTATTGTATTTCATGTACGTATGAAGTTTGGTGCTCTGCTTGTTATAAGAGAAGATTTAGTTTCATTTCATAGGAAATGGGTTACACCATAGAATGATCCAAAAGTCCAAAATCCACTAATCAGATTTATCACTCCCAAATTAAGTAAACGAATAAATAATAAATACAGTAATAGAATGAATACATTAAGGGTGAAACTGAAAGCTTAAATGTAAACTGAAAGCTTAAACTGAAAGCTTAATGAGAGCGCAGAGGCCGCCGGCCAACCTCAGGATCATTTCGCCGTCTTCTTTCCTGACATATGACGTGTGGTTCCCAAGGAAGTTACTGGTGCGTGTGAAGATGAGCACAAAGACGGAGCCCTAGAAGATGGCGGTGAGGACGGTGCCCACCATGCGAGTTTCGTACAAATTGACGCCATGTCCGGAGAGACAGAGGCGCAGCCGAGGACAACGCCGCCAATGGTGAAGATGTGGAGGAGGTTTGGAGGATGAGGAAGAATCCGTAGAGAGGAGGGAGGAGGCAGAGGGAGAGGGTGAGGAAAATGCAGCTGGAGGCTGCACCCAGTAGAACGTAGTTGCAGTCTTGCAGAAGAGGAAAGCCTTTTGAGTCCGGGAGGAGTTGGAATCGTTGTTGCCGCCAAGGACACCAACAGACAGAATAGCACGTCAAAGGACATAATTGCCCTTCCACTTCACGGCGGTTTAACAGCAAATGTAACGGTGGACCAAAAGTGTCCACCTTTTAAAAAGGTTGGGCAAAATGTGGCTAAATTAATAAAATCGGGCAAAATGTGTCCATCACACAATAATTATAGGACCAAAAGTGGAAATATTTAACAAACAGAAGTCATTTTCCAGAAGTCATTTTCCGGGTTTCCAAAAAGACCCTTAATTAATTTAGGGTACGGTGCGTTTGGAAACCCGGAAAATGACTTCTGGAAAATGTTTTCCGGGTTTCCAGTGTTTGGCAAGAGGGAAGAAAATGAGGTCAACGAAAAATGAGTTTGTAGTCAACGAAAAATAAATATGTTTTGGGGGAAAATGACTTTTTTTTTTTTTTTTTTTTTTTTGGGGAGAAGTTATTTTCCAATCCTCATGCTTGGTATGTGATAGATACCCCAAACTAGCTGCCTAGGCAGGAGGCCAGATAAGGGAGCCAAGCCGGTAGCCGGCCAGGAGGGAAAGAGGAAACTGCTAAGAACCTCCCGGTCACGATAACAGACGCCGCCGAAGTCCACTATGCACTTATCAAGCAGTCAACATGCCAGTCGGCGCGTCCCCAGGCAGGCCTCGGAAGGCAATGCCGATGGGCGACCAGTCACGATGATCGGTGTGTCCCTGATCCCGGACCTTATAGGATTAGGACAGGCGACCAAGTCACGCGGGCGGTGTGTCCCCAGCCGCGCAGCACCCCAGGACCCGGACGGGCGACCAGGCTGGCCAGGGGGAATGCTCCTACCCAGAGGCAGAAACCCAGGAAGGCGTCCTCACGCGGCCGGGACAGCTCCCGACTGGGCACATGCCCCAAAACGCGTATCAGCAGATTTTTCGGAAGCAATCTCCGCTTAGATTAAGTAGTTTCCATAAATTTGCTTGGATAGGAAAGGTAGGGAATCGACGGTTGCATCAGCCCATACGTCAGCCCTATCTATCCTTGACCTTGGCTAGATGTCAGCCCTACTTACCATGTATAGATTCAATATTCGTGTATAAACATCCCCATGGGATCTCCATGGCGGGGGACAAACTTTCTCTTTTCGAGCGACATATTTTGAAGGGCAACACCCTAAAGAAATAACAGTCGTTATTCTCTAAAATTGTTCTTAGTTTCTTACTTTCTCTACACCTACAAATATAGTTATCCGGTGGTGTTGGCATGCCGGGCAGCCATCAACGCTGTGAAAATCAACATTGGCGCCGTCTGTGCGGATCGAAACTAAAAGTCCCGTTCTCAAGCATATCGATGGCACGAACGAGGCTAACAATCGCAATACTGGACCTAACCTCGCCGCCTTACCCGCTAATGGGCATGTGGCGGTTGTCGCGGACCCGGCTGAACATCCCGCCGGCAGCCGCTCATCCGTCGGCGACCTAAGGGAGCAGCTAAATCGTCACGCCTCTGGGGGGCAATCGGCTGCACGTACCGCGCGTACTGTCGCGAAGACCCCAGATCCGTCGAGGGAAAACCCGCCACCACGTGTCGCTCAGGCTCAACTCAACTTTGCAGAGTTGTTAGGGCAGGCCTTCAAAGCATACGTGCGTGGACGGGAACAGATCTCACCGCCCGAGCGGTCAGCTCCTGTGGAGGCTCAACAAGAGGTATCTAGGCGTTCGGAACACTCGGGGGTTAACCCGCTGGTTGGTCACCGGGCCGATCGCTCAATGCACTCTAGGCTCGGGCCTATAGCCCCGGCGCGGTTGGTCATGGAGTGCTTTGGGGAACGCAGCGAGCAGCAACCGCCTGACCGGTTGGTCAACGAGCAGCCGCGTGCCATCATACAGAGAATAGCAGCTGCAGGACGAAGGCAAGAAGCCGCAAAAGGTATGCGGGAGTCATCCAGGGCCTCCGACCGGGATAACCCCGAAATGGCTGGGATACATACTGTAACACCCCACTTTTCTAACTCTTAATTACATCTCTAAACAGTCATTAACATAAACTAAACAACGAAAAACTAGAAGTTAAGTAGTGGGAATGTCACCGCCACAACCACCACTCTTTGGTGATTGCACAGGCTAAAAGGGGTAAAACTACAAATAAGATTAAGTCTGGGTACTAAAAATAAATACTGGAAAAGAAAGGGGGAAAAACGTCACCCCAAAACAGTCAACATCAATCATCAAACATAAAGTCATAAGTTTAAATCCATAACATGATCATAAATAAAACTAGAGTTTAGACATCTCAAACTAGGAGACTAATCTAACTCGAGCTCTTCTCACTGCTGGGCCCACCTGAAAGGGGTTTTGCAAGCAACACATAGACAAACAGGAAAATACCTGTTAGCACGAAGCTATGTATAACCACACTCAACCCTGTAAAGCATACTAATATAAACTTCGAAAACATTTGATATCTTTATAGCAATAAGCTAATCTCAAATCATCTTAAGATTTATCACATTCGTTCTAAATGCTTGCACCCTATAATATCAACTGGCATGCTCATATATGTATAAGACAGATCACGTAGATACATAAGCATATAGACTTCTCAAATAGCTTATCAAGCAACTCATGCTTGCAGATAGGTTCATACTAAAAGAACATATAACAGGTGTTTACATGCTTTCATATTCTTATCACATAACTTGATAAGTGGAACTTCTAATACAA